CCCCAAAACCCCAAAACCCCTTAAACTTTATTGTACTATTAAAAAGATTTTATGAAATTTAGAATTAATTTACTAATTTACGATAGTTAAAATAAAATAGTCTTAAATTTAATTATTATTTATTTTTTTGTTTGATTATTAATTTATGAATGGATTCTATTCTTAGTGAAATGTACAGGAACCTTCTTAAAGCTGGTGTTTTGCTTGTTTCATCAAAAAAATTATCTAAATTTCTGACAAATATTTATCTTATTCATTTATTTGTCGCTCATGATTGATTAGAAATATCTCATGTCAATTTCTATGTCTAATTCGGCCATACTTATTTCAAAGCGATTAAATTCCTCTTCATTATTTTCTTTAATTAATTAACCAATATCATCAGATTTAAGACCTTAATTAAGCTTGAGCTCTTCTTTAGGTACCAAAAGCACATTTTCATTAGATTTTATATCTTGACCCTGATTGACAGCTAGGTTTTTTTGAGGATTGAATAATGAATCCATTTATTCAGAATCCTGAATTGATGTAATTGGTAGTATTTTTTATTTACCATCATAAATTGTTGATTGCAATCCATGGGAATGTTTCATAGCAATATTTTTGTCATCGTTTTAAGAATTGAACTTATTAGTAAGATTTCTTTCCTGTTAATGCTAGTTTAGTTGCTAGCTATCATATATTTGATCGAATTTTGAATTATTAGTTTTCTCTTATTAATTCTCATTGTTTTATGTTACGCAGAGTCTTTAATGGCAGAAAATTTCATAATTACGATTTACCTAAACTGATCTTTAATCATTATTTTTTGGCAAGTACATTCCTAAATCTTTGTATTTATTCAATCTTTTGAACCATTTATGTTCAAGTGCTTCAGATAAACTGATCCTTTCGTCAACACTTGGATTTAAAATCTGGACCAAAAACTCTCTAAGATCACAAGAATACAATCTTAACTAATTTTCAAGAATAAGCTCTGTTTTACAATATGCATTCGTCTTAATAATTTCACGACCATTCTAGCCTTAGAACAAATTCTTTCCCCTTAGCATTTTAAATAGCACGCATCCTACTCCAAATAAATCATTCTTTAAATTGTGATTATTTGATCTGAGGATCTCTGGAGCTATATAACCTGGAGTCCCACATATGTTGAATTATTATTACTTATTTTCATTTAACTAAATTGCAAGACCGAAATCTGCTAGATAGACTTTTTGGTGTGGCTTAGAAGAATTTCCATTTTGTTCAGAGATAAGAATGTTCTGTGGTGTGATATCCTTGTGAATTATGTTTTATAAACATAAGGATTGCAAGCATTGAAGCACTTGATAAATTATTACTCTACTTTCGCTTTCGTTGACAACTACTTTTTATCTAATAAGCTATCTAATATCACAACCTTTAATATAGTCGAGTAGCAAGTAAATATTACGCTAATCTTCATAAACTCTGTGCATTTAAATGATGTGATCTTCATTTCTTAATTTACGTTAAATTTTTATTTCCCTCAATATTGCTATTTGTTTAAGTTTACTTTCTTCAGATTTCTCAATAATTTTTAATGCATATTTAGGACATGTTTCTCTAATCTAATTTTATTATTTAGTATGAACTAGGTAGACTTTAGCTTGTGATCCACAACCCAGTTTACCTCTGAAATCAAATTCCTCAGCATTGAAATCCCAAACGCAATTTTAATCTAATATACCTATTAGGGATTTAGCAAAGTGACTATTCATTAAATCTAAGTTTTCTTCTGTGTTAATATAATTTTTTTCACATTTTTCAAAAATGATCAGCGAATCGTTTTTCTCTATTGCGAATTGATCGTCAAAGCTTTTGCTATCAGAATTCAATTTGCTTATTAATTTTGCATATCCTAGGTCGATATTGAGAGTTAAGTGCCATCCGGATTAAATCTCTTAAAGATGGAGGAATTTTTAATGATGAAATATTTTGCATGTTTTTTAATGCAAATTTTCATGGTTATTTTACTATTCCTTTCTATTTATTATTGTGACTTTAGCGATGGTTAAAAACTTCAAGCTCTTCTCAATCTTACTAATTTTTTCTTGATTATCCACAAACAATTAACTTTTGTGGCATTACATGAAAAACATTGATTTGGAAAGACTATGATTAGAGTTGAATATTTCGTTTTTTTGTCTATAGCTCATGTGCTGGTTTAAATGATATATTTAATTTATTATTTACAAATCTTACTAAAATAATTGTAATATTCTTAAGTGTTCTCAGTAATGAATTAAATCTATATTTTCATTAATCATAAAATTTCAAATTTAAATGATTTTAACTCACGGGGTTTTGGGGTTTTGGGGTTTTGGG